GTTGTGGTGGGCCCCTGTAGTCCCAGGTACTCGGAGGCTGAGGCAAGAGATCACCTAAGCCTAAGAGCTGGAGGTTGCTGTGAGCTGTGATGGCACAGCACTCTACCAAGGGCGACAAAGTAAAAAAAAATAAAAAAGAGATGGGGTCTCCCTCTAGCTCAGGCTGGTCTCAAACTTGTGAGCTCTGCCTCAGCCTTCCAGAGTGCTAGGATTACAGGCATGAGCCACCTCACCTAGCCAGCATAAGAGATTTGAACTGGACCTTTATGTATTTTCTTTTTCAGTGAGTATGTGTATTTTAATTCCTTAGATCTCAGAAGAAGATGGCAAATTCCTCTTCTGTTTTATCTAAAGTCCCTGGATATGGCTTACAGGTAGGGATGTGGGCTCCTCAGACGGAGTGACTGTGGGATTGTGCGGACAGGCCCATCCCTTCCCTGAGCCTTGTACTATGGGCAGAGGCCCTCTGAGTAGGGAGGTGAAACTCTGCCTACCCCTCTGAGTGTAATTTATGTGAAATGCACACATTTTAAGTGTACAGGTTGATAACTTTTAACAAATGTACACCCTCTGTATTATTTTGCCCTCTGTAATTTTGACCCGGGTCCTGTCCTTCATGATTCTGCTCTGTAGTCTGTAGTGAAGCACCAAGCCAGGTATATTCTCTCAGGGAATTCTGAAGATAACCTTCCCGAGTTTATACAGTTCTCTGATAATTCTTTGTGATGGGATTGGTGTGCCAAATTGGCTCCCAACAGAATCTCCTTGCTCATTTGTCTCCTATTTCTCTGCATTCCCTCCCAAACTGCTGGACTTTTTGTGACTAGTGTCTTTTCTCTTTCTTTCCTTAATGACATAGGTTAGGAACTCGGACCATAACCAGGGACTACAGGGTCTTCTGAAGTCTGAGCAAAAGAGAGTGCATGGGTTAAAGAACCATTCCAGATCCAGAAGCTCCTCCCACTCACCCCCCAGACATACCAGCAAGAAAAGCACCAGGGAAGTGGGGTCCCGGGACAGGAGGTCTCGATCCCCAGGGAGAAGGTCACGGTCCCCAAGGCCTAGCAAACTGTGAGTGTGGGATTCACGGGGAATTAACCTGTGACTGTGGGGGCCTTGTCACAGCAGGCTTTTGCTTTTGGTGATGTCCAATTATCGACTTTCTTATATGTCTTTGTTATTTTCTTCACATCATTTTTTTTCATCTTAGTATAAAGCTCAGGTCCCTAGAACCACGTACCTATAGAGTTGTGTACTATACTAGGGGACAGTGGGACATGTGAAACCTTCTGTACCCTGTGTCTTCAATATTCTAACACTTCCACCCTCTCCTGTCTTCCATTCAGATTATAATTCTAAGACTGTTAGTGTGTCTTCCATTGTTTGAGGGACATATTATAAGGCACTGGCATGAAAAGGCTTTACCCTCTCTGTCTTCTAATGTCTATTACAGACATAATTCTAAGGTGAACAGGAAAGAGAGAGGCCACAGTAAAAGCCCATCACCCAAAAAAGAGGTCTACCAAAGGCGGCACACTTCCGGATACACCAGGTGAGTCAGGAGCCCAGTATATTAAATTCACTTCTGCAAACCTGAATCTAGAGGAGGCTAAAAATCAAGGCAGATGGATACTTGATACTACATTTTTGGCAAACTAACTTCTATTTATTTTGTCAACTTTTATTTTTCTTTCTTGAGACAGAGTCTCACTATGTCACCCTGGGTAGAGTGCCATGGTTGCTACTCACAGCAACCTCACTCACAGCAACCTCAAACTCTTAAGCTCTAGAGATCCTCCACCTCAGTCTTCTGAGTAGCTGGGACTACAGTCTCCTAACACAATGTCTGGCTAGTTTTTCTTTTCTTTTCTTTCTTTCTTTTTTTTTTTTTTTTAGTAGATTAGTAGAGACGGGGTCACACTCCCGCTTACGTTGGTCTGGCACTCCAGAGCTCAAGCAATTCGCCTGCCTTGGTCTTCCAGAGTGGTAGGATTACAGGCGTGAGCCACCATGTCTGGCCTATTTTGTCAACTTTTAAAAGTGTGCCACCCACTACACATACCATGTGAGGCACATGGAAAGCACAAGGAAAGTAGTTTGAACATACATAAGGAAAAATCATTTATATCTGTCTCTCACCATGTGTGAACGTGTTCATTCTCATAGATTTCCACACGGAAGCTTTTCTTGAGAGAATGTTTCTTGCTCAAGGCGTCAGCTGAAAGGGAAGCAGAATGCTTTCCTTGAGGGCAGATGTCCTCTGCATTTGAATTGGGTCAGCGCACGGGGGCATGTAGCCCTGGGACCTGAGGAAAGGTGGCTATATCCGTGAAAGGCTGTCTCTGGGAGTCTAGGTTGCTCTCAGCAGAAGTTTAGATGAGGTAGGCAACTTCTGTGAACATCCTTTTACTGCCCAGGGGATGTATAGACCAGCATTTCCAAATAAATTGGCTGTACATTAGAACTGTCTGGGAAGCAGTTATTCTATGGGAAGACTGCCAGAGGGAAGAAGTTCTAGAACAGCCTTGGCAATATTGGAAGACCCCCCAACTCTAAAAAAATTCATCTGGGAGGCTTAAAAAAAAGATCCCGGCTCGGCGCC